GCTGGAGTCAGGGACTTGAGAATGCTGTAAGTGCTGAACTGCTTGCTAGTGGTGAGTAGTGCAATTCAAAGCTTCTGTGTGGTTCTGCTGACTGAATGACAGTGCACGAGCCTGTGGGGTGAGTGTCTTGTCCTGTAAACTCAGGAGAGGAGATGTTTTGACTCTGTAGAAGGTGGCACTGCTCAGCCTTCAGAGGTCTTGTGCCTTGCTGGAACTTCTAGTCTCTTGATTGACTTGCTGTATGAAGGGCTTTGTCAAGAGAGCTTGACTTGAATGTGTTGCATTGAACTCCTCAGATATTGACAGTTTAAGTCAGCACTTACATTTCTCTAATTTTCTCGTACTTCTCTTTATTAGACTTCTAATTGTCAAACACTTAATGTAGTTTTTAACAGGTATGTATCTATTTTTGTTATATATTTTAATTGTTTGCCTACTGATACAGACTGTGATTTTATTAATTTTAGTTTTCTAAATGTTGGAAGAAGGATGCTGTCTGCTGAGAATTCCCCAGCCTTCCTCCTTGGTTAAGAGCCCATACAAACCCTATTCCAACCACGAGACCCTTGGCTGTGTCCTCTAACAGAAAGAAGCAAATTAACCTAAGTTCTGTGGTTTCTTTTTGAGAAACTTTGCATGGTTTTCAGCTATGAACAACCACAGATTTTTAAGTGCTGCAAAAAATGTGCTCACTGCATTAGAAATGCTGCAGGGGGTGGACTTGCTTTGTTGGACTTGCGGCATGAGACAGAAGGGCTGTAGCAGCCTGGTTGCTCCTGAGGCTGTGGCTTAAGGAAGCCCCTGTTTAGGATACAATTAAACACATTTGAATTCCTCTGGTGTTAGTGGTGGTGTGTGTGTCTTGCCTTAGGAAGAGCTCTGTAGAGCCAGCCTGCCTGCCTGGCATCCAAGGCAGCATGAATCTCCTGTTTCTGAGGACCTGTTGCTGTGCTGGCTTATACTGGAGGAGCAAGCAGGGGGTTTGGTTGTCAGGAAGCTTCCAGCTGGCTTTGGATGCTCGTTTGCTGTAGTTCTCATTTCTCAGTTTGATGTTGCTTATCTCTTAGTTGTCTTGTTGTCATTTGTAGGTGGTAGGAGAGAATCTCCTGCTGCCAAGACACCAGCACAGACTGTGCTGTCACTGAACATGGTGCTTCACAGAGAGGAGGAGACAATGGGCTGGTGCCTCAGGAGGGGCTGGTGATCCTTCAAAAGCTCTGCCTGTGCTATCCCAAATCCTACCCCAGGCTTCTGACCTCGACAGAAACTGCTGTGTCCCTTCTTGGCTCCAGCCTGGAGGTACCAGGCAAAGCTGGGAGACAAGAGTCTTCTTTTTACTATCCTCCCTGCAGCTTTCCCAGCTCAGTGTGGAGCTTTGATAAGAAGCAAACTTCTGTTCATCAGGTGCTACTTACTGTCTGCTACACTCTGTGTTTTGCTGTTTTTCCACTCCTTTGGGGTGGGTGCCTGTTCATTTCAGCCTCAGGTGTGGGAACCTTGGAGGAGCTCAAATGTTGGACTTTTCCTAATGCTGCAGATGTGAAAAAGATCTTTTTGGTAGTTGACTGCCCAGCCCGAGGTACCTGATACAGACCTGTTTGAGGGTTTAATTTAGAGCTTGTCTAGCATCTGTGAACTAGGTGATCTTTGCAGATGTCTGTTCATCACACAGAATTGAGGCATCCTAAATCATTAGAGCCATGATTTTCAGAAAATCCCTGATGATGGACTGGCTAAAACTCTGCACTCCAGTCCTGGTGAGCACTAGCACAGCGTAGACAAGGAGGATACAGGGGCACATCTGATAAATGCTGTGTATTCCAGCACCTCTCCCTGCAGTCCTTCACCGGAGAGCTTTCTGTGAGCAGGGTCTGAATTCTGACTGCTATTACTTCTTCGCAGGAAAAATCAGGCAAATGGGCAGGAGCCTCTCAAGAGGCAGGGATCAACTACAAGCAAATCTCCTGTCCTGACACCTCAGGCCATCAAGCACATTTGGGTTCGGACGGCGCTGATTGAGAAGGTGCTGGACAAGATTGTGCAGTACATTGTTGATAACTGCAGGTAAGGGGAGAGCCAGAAGCTCAGGGGTTTGTGGGACTGGCTGGCTTATGTATCTGCAACAAGGGATTTTATCTGTCTAGAAATCAGCTGAAAAAATAACTTACCATTTCTTATAGAATCCTTTTTTTTCTGCAGCTGGCAGGATCGCACAGCGCTGCCATGAAGAGCAGCGCACTCAGCAGCGTGTGAAGCCCTGATCCTTTCCACCTACTTAGGTCCCTTAGGTTTCAGTAGATATTAGGTGCCCAGATTCTAATGTCACCTAGGCCTTGGTGCCCTAGTGAAGTAGAAATGCCCTCTACTAGGTCAGGAGTGCTTCATTCACTTATGTTAGTTAAAAATGATCCTTTGGAATGTTAGGATGTCAGGGAAGAAAATGCCCTTTGTAGGTAAAAGGAGGAGAAATGAGTCTATAACAGGAGGAGTTAATGACATAAACCCTTAGGGCTGTGAAAAAGGTTTTGTAATCATGTTTCCTTTTTAGAAAATTCAAGTTTGATTTAAAGGTAATCTTCCCTTGCAAAACTAGAGAAGAGCACCAATGCTATCTGAATCCACAGGGACTCTTAAGAGGAAAGACAAGTCCTCTCTGTTCTGTGACATCTATCATTACTCCCTACTGTCAAGCATCAGCTTTGGCTTCCCAAGAGGTGGTTAACTCTACCCTTTGTGCCTTCTTCCTCTCCTATAACGGATAAAGAAGAATTAAGGGGCACACTGGGGACATTTTCCTCTAAGAAGTAAGTCCTTCAGCTCTTCGGGTCTTGAGGAAGAGAAAGTGTTTTAGAGTTTGAGCCCCATCTAGTGGAAGAGACAGCAGAGGACAATAACAGCCCAAGACATTTGGGTGTTCTGACTTTTTGGCTATGTGGTTTTATGTCAGCTTTGCCTGCTGTGATGGGAAGACTTTGGGGTCATTGTAAGAGCTACTATTTGTAGTATTTCATTATTCTTGATAGTGTTTCAAGATTATCCTCACAGATGGAAAAGATGGTTAAGAATGTTTGGATCTCTTGGTCTCTGGAAAACTGATAAAATTGCTTGCAGTGTTACTGTTTGCCTGCATATTGCATTAGTGCCCAAAGCCCCAGATCAAATATACTGGGTAAACACACTTAGCAAGAGGCAAGCTCCAGCCTCTCAAGAGCACAGCTCAGAATAGATAAGGCAGAATAAACCTGGGGAGAAGAAGGGACTTGGCTGAGATCACACAGCTGATTGGGGCAGAATATGGATCTGAAGTAGCGGTCATGGTCAGCTTGTTCAACATAGCAGTCTGGAGCACAGGCCTGTTGAACTGGTTGTTCTACACTCCTTTTATGCTCCATGGAGATTTAGTTATTGATACAGTTGTAGGAAGTTATCTCACTCTAAAGCAGATGTCTAAATCAGACCAAATTATTTCTCCATAGCTTTCTTATGATATATTTTAATGTGTTTTTTTTTAAATAGTTCAGATCACACCATGTAAAAACCTCCTCTACCTGCAAACCCAACCCACTTCATGACATCAGTGAGTGAGCCAATCAAACTCCATCAGAGGTTTCAGAGGAGATGCATGTGTCAGCGATTTCTGGGTGGTTCTAGCAACTGCTTTTCCTTTTTGCATAGGTGACTTAACTGCCTGAATTTGCTCTTGAAATGAGCAGTTTTTACAGCATATGAAGTCTGGCCTTCAGTAGTCATGCTAAGCAGTAACGTGTTACTTCTGAAGTCAATGGCTCGTGCTACTAGGGGGCAGGAGAGCTTTTAAAAATAACAGCCAGGCTTTAATTGGACTCTGATCTTTTATTCCTAGTAAATACTATGAAAAAGAAGCTTTACTGGCAGATGCTGTTTGTGGCCCAATACTGGCTTCTCTCCTCGGTAAGTTCTTACAAAGTTACTTCTTACGCTAAAGAAAATGAATTGTTCCTTGACACGTTTTGTGTTACACAGTGTTACAAAGGATGCTTGTTCTCTGTAGCAGGCGGCTTAATCACTTACACTAGAGCAGTATAGCAGCAGACTCACAAGGTTTTTCTCTCTGGGCTTAGTTGGGCCGTGTGCTCTGGAGTACACCAAGCTGAAGACAGCTGACCACTACTGGACAGACCCCTCTGCAGACGAGCTGCTCCAGCGGCACCGGATCCACGGAGCTCACGGCCGCCAGGACTCGCCTGCCAAGCGCCCGGCGCTGGGAGTAGGTATTTGCTTGTCACTGCTGGTCAGACTTGGCAGCAAAAGAAATCCCAGGCAGGAGAGATCTGAGCCAGGGCAACCTTTATTTTATTTCTGTCATGGAGCCTTTATCTCAGATTAAAAGCCATTTGGGCCCAAACGTCCTCCTTATCTGCATGTAGAAAAGCTTGAGATCCAGGACCTGATTTGGCTTTTGACACTTGTGATCAGACCAGTTCACAGGAATCATGAGCTGCCTTGGCCAGGGCTGAGGAAGTGCCCAGGTCATTTCTCTGCAAGGTCTCCTGGCTCCAGAAGTTCTGCTCTACAGAAACTGCTCTGTGTTGCTGGCCTGCTGGTGCTGTGGTTCCTGACCTGCCTGATCTGCCCTGGCTGTGTGTGCTAGATCCGCAAGCGCCATTCCAGTGGGAGCGCGTCCGAAGATCGGTTTGCTGCTTCAGCCAGAGAGTACGTGGAGTCTCTGCACCAGAACTCCCGGACACACCTTCTCTATGGGAAGAACAACGTCTTGGTCCAGCCGGTGAGTCCCGGGTGCTGGGACAGGTCACAGCTGCTGTCTGGCTGTGTCTGGAGTCCCAGTGCAGGTACCAGCGGAGCGGGGTTGCAGCTGCGCTCGAGTCACCTGGACTGCCTGTCTCTTGCTTTTGTGAATAGAAGGATGACTTGGAGGCAATTCCTGGGTATCTCTCCCTTCATCAGTCAGCAGAAAGTCTGACATTAAAGTGGACTCCAAATCAGCTGATGAATGGAACGCTTGGAGATTCAGAGCTGGAGAAAAGGTAGTCACTGCCCTCCGGGAAAGAGCAGAACATGAATGAGGATTGTTTCTTGTAGACTTGGCAGGATGACAGAAGTGCAAGCAAGGCTGATTTAATTGAAGGGCTCCTGAATAGTGTGTAAGTTGAGGTGTCAGGCAGCTGGGGTTCTCCTCCTGTTTTGCCATAGACTAAGCAACTTTCCAAAGGTCCTGATAATGCACTTGGAAATAAGCCTTTTTCAAAAGGTAAACAAAAGCCTCCTTTTCCAGGTGTTTGGGAGAAAAGCCTCAACATTACCTTCCATCCCCACAATGCTAGTACCTCCCTTCAGAGTGTCACAAATCACCTGGCAACGATGGCTAATTTCAATGTCAAGAGACCTCCAGTGTCATTATCTTTCATTAGATCAGTTTTACACCTGATTTGGCATTCTGCTTCAGTAGAAAGAGAGGTAAAGTCTTGAACCAGGCAGGTGTGTCTCCTCAGGGAGTCCTTCCTTCAGACCCAGAACAGTGCTCTTGAATGCTTAATCCACTCCATTCTTTTTCTAAAACTTGATGTGTATTTTTAATAGAGCATTAATGAAGCCCTCTGCCCTTGCTTTTATTGCTAAATGCTGTCAGGGTTGTTCTTAGAAGGGTTCAGAGCTGTTCCCAGTGTTTAATCTGTAAGTTTGAGCCCCAGTGGATTTATGTGCTGCTGCCCAGGACTCTTGTGCAAGGCAGAACTGAGCTACCCTGAGCCCCCCCAGCCCTGGGACTCCCCTGGGGCTCCCCTCCCCCCCAGGTGTTTCCATCTGAGCTGCAGCCACTTTGTAACCTGGGAGGTGGAAGAGGGAGATGATGAAAGGGCTGGTCCCAGATGTACTCACTGTGGAGAACTAGTTCCTTGGCCTTTTACTTGGCTATTAATTTACCTTACTTGACCAAATTTAATAAGCAGTTATTAACTTAGCAGAGTCCTTTTATTGGGTGTGTGGAACTTCAAGCATTCCTGAATATAAGAAAAAAACAACCAAAAACATTTCCTTTGCTTTTTTTCTTCCCTATTAGTGTTTACTGGGACTATGCCCTGATAGTGCCTCTCAGCCAGATCGTCTGCATTCACTGCCATCAGCAACGTAAGCATCAACCTTCCTCTCTGCCCGGGGCCTGGGCTGTCCTGCCACAGCACCCCCAGGCTGCAGCCTGCACAGCCCTGCTGGGGTCACATCCTGCCCTCAGGGACCCCCTGTTTCCAGGGGGCTCCAGGTGCCTCCTTCGCTTAGTTTTGGAAAAGAAAATGAAGAACCTAATTCACTTACATTCTTTTGAAAATTGTACAAGATGCAGATCATTATGCTTAAAAAAGTGTCCAGGGCCCAGGGTGGTTTTCCTTATTTGTGCTGAATTTCTAGTGGCAGTAAAGAAATGAGAAAAATTTATTACAGGGAATGTGACTTGCTAATTCTCAAAGGAATAAAGCTGACAGCCTCTGGTTATATCCATCTGGTTGTTTTTCATTCTAGATTGTATGACCTTTGTCAAGTTACGTCATACGCCAGAGACTTAATTTACTTTATTATTTATTATATTAGTGTTCAGAATCACTTTATATGTTTCTGCATGAGGCCTGTCACAATTTGCTTGTATCTTGAGCTCCTTTAGGGCTAAAGGACTGAGATCATCCCTAGGGGTTGCACTGTGACTCAGAGGTTTATTTGTCTACCTAGAGATGATCATAAATGAAATTGACCTAGAAGGTAAGAGCAACAAGCAGAGGCTTCAGTGTAACAGTGTGGACTTCCCTTGTCCTCCTTTGCAGCAGAAGGCAGATGGACGTTGGTCTTGGTGAGTCAGGATGGAACTCAGAGACCTCCTCTGCACTTCCCCCAAGGAGGTCACCTCCTTGCGTTCCTTTCCTGTCTGGAAAATGGTCTTCTGCCTCGTGGTCAGCTGGAACCACCGCTCTGGTCCCAACAGGGCAAGGTAGAGCTTTTTCTGATGAGCTGTTTGTGGTGGGGTTTATCTTTGTTCAACCAGCACCCTGCTCCACAGTGTCTGTGCATTATTGTAAAGCAGCTGGAGATCAGAGGAGCCAAGAAGCTCCAGAGTCCAACTGGATGCTTGTGCAGATAGTCTGTGAGAGCTGTTGGTACCTTCACTGCCACATGGAGCAATGAACTGGAAACTGCTGTTGTATCAAAATATGAACCCAAACAATAGGGACTGACCTAGATGGGCTGGGACACACTTGCTGTCAGAGGCTTGGGTTATGGAAGAAGCTGGTGCTCAGGTCCCATGGGTTACAGTAAAATGCTGTGGTTTCAGTACACTGAAAAGTTGTGTTTGGGGCCCCTAAACCACCCGCTCTCTGATTCTGCTGCTGCTCTCTCCCTTGCCTCCTGCCAACATCAGAAGTTTAATTTTAAGATTTAAGATGCCAAAGCTGAAGTGCTTAGTTTGCTGTGCTCTGCTAATCATTCCCAGCTGAACTTATGGAATCCATGTTCCCTCTAGGGGAAGGTATTCCCAAAGCTCCGAAAACGGAACAGCAACAGGTCGGTGGACCTGGAGGAGATGCCAGCTGAAGACACTTCTACAGACTATGTGTTCAGAATTATCTATCCAGGACACAAGCATGATAACAGTAAGTGACTTTGTTCTGCTTTGTTAAAAAAACAACAACCAACAAACCAAAACAACCAAACAAAAAACCCCCCACAAAAAACCCACAACAAACAAGCCAGGTTTTTTGGGGGGTAGGGGAGAAATTTATCACAAAATTCCATTGTGTAATAATTGTGGTTAAGAGATAGTTAGTATAGAGTGTCTTCATGTAGTGAAACTCATTATCTTGGTGGAAATGGAGTTTAGGTGGGGAATCTTGTTTATCTTTACTCTGTGTTTTCCAGAGGAAGTTTCCAAAATGCTCCCCTGGGCTTGCAAACTGAGACTCAAAGCAAAAAGTTTGCTTGACTATCCAAGAGCAATTTTGCTCCCAAAGCAAAGATACTGTTATTGGCCACACTGCTTGCTCATAATGTTGTTATTAGGAAAAAAACAAACTCAACTCATAAAGTACCCCAAGAACTCCCTGGGCTAAGTTTTCCTGGCTTGGAAGCAAAAACTTAACAATGGATAAATAAATGCCCTTCCAAGGAAACTAAAAGAATTCCCAAGCACCAAACCACCTCATGTCATCAGTAAATACAAATCCCTTACATGCAAGAAGGCATTTGAGCTTGTTCTCAAAGAGCATGGTCAGTTTTATTCCCCTTGGCAAAGAAGCAAGAATTTCCCAGGAAGATCAGACCCTAAAATTTATGGGGGATTTGGATTTACTGCTCATATTGGACTTAGTGCAGCTGAAAAAGCAGAAATCTCGACCCTCCTTCCCCCAGGGACTGTCCCACAGATGTGGCCAAGCTCTGACAGGGGGTTGGCACAGGTAAGTTCACACACACCCCAGCAGCAGCATCTTCTGCCTTTGCCGGGGGGCAGGGGCTGCAGGTGGTGTGGGCACACAGACCTGCCTGCTGTCCAGGCATCTGGAACAGAGCTCAGAGTGGAGAAGAGGCCACAGCATTGACAGGGGCATGGAGGAGGAGAGAAGCTAGGTGGAGCCTGGCATTCCCATGGAGCTCTGCTGAAAAAACACCCACCTGCTGCAGGCTGTGCTGTGGGAACTGGCCGTGCCCAGAGCTGCCCTTGGTGGAGCTTTTCCTGTAAGAAACTGGATTTCACACCCACTTGCAGGAGCTTGTGCCCTCAAGGAGCGGGCAGGCTTCAAGTCCCTTGTCGTTGCTGAACGTGTCCTTTTGAGCTTTCCCAAAGAACTGAGTTCTCTCTTCTTATGCTCCTCTTTCACTATTTTCTTTGAGCAGTAACTATTAACTACCACCACTTAGCTGCCAGCCGCTCTGCCTCTGTTGACGATGACGAGGAGGAGGAAGATAAGCTGCACGCAATGCTATCAATGATCTGCTCTCGGAACCTCACAGCTCCTAATAGGATGAAAGGTTTTTATCCTCCTCCCCCTGTGTCCCAGAGCTCTATTGCAGCTCGTTCCACTGCTGCATACAACAGTGTTGGCATTATTGCAGGGAGGAGCGTTTCACTCGCTCCATGAGGCCTGGAGATGGACTGTGCAGAGGCTGGGAATGTGCTCACAGCCTGTGGGAAGTGGGAACAACAGCATCTTCCCTCTCCTTTGAGCATGCGTGCTGCTGGACAGACACACCTGGAGGCTTCTGGCCCACCTTCATAAAAGCTGGATACTAGACCATATTCTCACAGGAGAAGGAGGGAGTGAAACAGGTCTTTGTGTTCTCCCTTCAGAGTTAGTCATGTCAGCCCAACAGACCAGAGGGCAGCCCTGGTGGGAAGGATCCAGGTGACCCACTGCAGCAACAGTAGCCTTGTGCTGAGCAAGGACACAGTGTGTCTGTGTGGGCAGAACAGGACAGAAGTTCAGGGAGGTGCAGTTTGAGGCTGGGGATGTCCTGTCTGGAGTGCCTGGGCCAAACCTTGTGTGCTCCTCTTGTAATCAAAACATCAGCCTCTTCCTAATAACTGGAGAACATCAGCAGGGGCAGAATCTTCTCTGTGACCAGGCTGTAAAGTAGCTGTTGAAAATCTGATGTCTGCAGAGGAAGCAGGAAGGGGAGCAGCCACTTGCAAGTTTGGCCCTTGGCTGTATTTTTCATTTGTTGTGTTAGCATGAAAGTGCTGCTCCTGGTATTTCTATTTCCTAAGAAAAACACAAGGCATCTTGGATAAGACACTTGTGCCTTCAAATAGTGGAGCCAATAGTTTGGTTCCAAATGGATGTTAGCCCTGGTCTGGTGGAGACCATCATTGCCCTGTGTCTCTGCATAGTGATCAGTTCAGCCCAGGTTGGACATAAACATGTGCTCAGGGGGATCCTCCTCACTGCTTGCAGGTTGCCCACGCACTGTCCCAAGGTAGGATCCCCTGGAAACTGATAAATCCCAGCCCAAGTTAATAGAGAGTTCTTGGAAGGTATGGATGGAAAGAAACCCCAAAATACAGTGTTACCCTTGATAGAAGATGCTATTTCAGGAGGTCTCAGTGTGTCTGAACTGACCATATCTGGATATGGGTGAGAAGGGGAAGGAAGGTCAGACCTTGCCACGTGTGTTGAGGGGCCAACGCCGAGATCTGGACCATAAGAAACACAGTTCAGTCCAGTCGGGTGATGAGAGTTTCTAGTCAGCTCAACCAGCTGTCAGATCCCTGCTTCTGCTAATAGAATCCTGGAGGTAGCCCCAGGGTTAGGAACAGGTTCTGCTGAGCTAGGCCAGGGTGGCTGTTGTCTCTCCAGCAGCATCCCTGTCAATGATGACAGCACTGCTGCAGCAGGTGTGCCAGCCATTTGCTTTTACATTTTGCAACATGCTCCACTTTTGCATGTAGCTGAAGTTACAGATAACACCACTACAATTCAGTAAAAGATGCTGTTCACTCTAATTCTTCACTAATTCAGGTACCTTTCATCTGAATCTTTAGGGCCTGTGGGGTTCTTTCCTTGTTTCTCTAAAAAAGAAAATGAAAAATTAAAACTGAAAAACCCACTTTTCTTGTCTGTAGAGGGGAGGCAAAAAATAATGATCTAAAAATGTTTGTCCAGTGTTTTTTCTACTTGAACCCAATAGGAAGCTGCAATAAATACTGGGTCATTCAGCTCCTTCCTGAAGAATTAAGGTGAAGAGCATTTTTGCATCACACTTTGTTTTGTGAAATGAGATACACGTGACTGCTTCCGCATGAGCCTGTGCTTTTCCTGTTACCAAATGTTTTTACCCCACTCCTTCCTCACCTCTGCCCACTTTTCAACAGGCACGACTAAAATGCTTTATGCTGCCTTGATTTAAAATGCATGAGATGGTTTGGAGTTGCCCCTACCACCACCCAACAAATGTATGTTTTAAAAGCACAGCCCAGGGGACTGGATTTTGCTTTACAAATGTTAATTAGTGACGTTCAGTATTATGGTGTTTGCCTTAATTTTAATCATGGGTGAGCTGAAAGGCCAGTTATTTATTATAAAACGAAAACCCACAAGCTCAAATGCCAGCTGGGAAGTTTGAAGACCAGAACCAAGCTTCCTGAAGGCAACTGGTGATTTTTTGGATTGCCTCTCAGAAGCTGGTTAGAAAAGCAAATAGATTTGTGGAGCAGGGATAGCTCAAGAAGCTGCACTGTGCTGTGGGATCACATTTCCTGCAGAAATCCTACTTTTATAAACCTAATCTTGACATTAGTAGGACTTGAACTATCCCTCTGTGCTCAGTATTTTAGGATCTGGTTCTGAGGGGGAAAGAACCATCTTTTGAAAATGACTCAGTCAGTTTGTCTTAATTTCTTTTATGCTCAAACTTTCCCTCCAGCTGGACTAGCAGTTAAATGGCTGATTCCAGGAACTGCCAGATGAAATTCTAAGACCTGGATTAGATAAGTGGTCAGGTTAGATGATTTCTGGCCCTACATACCATCCCTGTAGCAGCAGATGAGCCAGTGTCAGTCGTTACCGCCGCTCCCTCTTCTCTTGAAACACGACCTGGGATGATGGGAAAGGGGAAATGGTGAAGGGATCTGACTTCCTGGGCAGAGGCCCTGCACAGCATGCAGCTGGGCTGGCTGTGTCTGAGGACACCAGGATGGTGCTTTCCCCTCTGTGGAATCAAGGTTCAGAGCCTGCTGAGAAGTCAAGCAGGAAGCCACCAGGCTGCTGGAAGGCAGAGGGGACGGGGCAGGAGGCTGATGGCTGCTCTTCTCTTTGGGTCTCTTCCTAGACACCAGCGACATGATGGAGATGCAAAGCTTTGGGGCAAACCTGCTCTCCTGGCAGCTGGAGCACTGCAGCCAAGGCTCCTCCTGCCTCTCCTGCTCCACGGGCAGCTCTCCCTATGACATCCCCAGCTGCTGCAGCTGCATCCACGACAGGTGAGCAAACTGCAGAGCTCACCTGGAATGTCATGCATATCATGGGTAGAAGCAGGGAGGTGCTATGGGTTGTGGTACCAGAGACAGTAACTATTTCCAAGTAATTCCTAGCAGAAGAGATGGAGTTATGCAGCAAGAAATTTAATTTATTAAAAATAACCTATTAAACTACTCTCGGGTCACATCTTGATATAAAAATTGCATCTAGTTCTTTTGTCTAGATGAATATAACTCAGCTCTGGAAGCATTTTCTTTAACAAGTCATTAACAATTACAATGAACTGCAGCAATTAATCTAATTGGACAAGGCTCTTTATGGTGCATCTGCAGCAGTTGTAGCTGAAATGTGCCAGGTTGGATTTGCTTTGGGGCAAAATGCTGGGGGGGAGGAATGCTTTCAAAAGGGTAGTTTCTCATTATTGTTGTCCTTGAGCTAAATAAATCTTGGTACAGAGAAAGAATTGCTGTGTGTAGGCTACAGGGATCAGCATAACCCTGATGATGATCTCTGTTCCCGTGACCCATCGTGCTCCTGTGCTTGTGTCTCCACAGAACTCCCTTGAAGATGCTGTGTGAAAGCATGAAGAGACAAATAGTTTCCAGAGCCTTTTATGGATGTAAGTGAAACGTCTTCTGTCCAGCCCCTGTGGTATCCGCATGCTTATCTAAAACACATGATGTTTGTTTTAGAAGGCAGTTCAACCCCAAACCTCTTGTTGCAGGCCAAATCACCTCAGGACAGCAGGGTGGACGTGACTCCAGTATCATAGCTTCACAATTCCCATTATTTGTGGGTTTTGCAATGGGAGAACTGATGCTTAGTGGAGACAGAATGTAGTTTGCAGTGAAATGGAATCCCCTGCCTGGATTTTACTAGTCTGTGTCAGATTTACTGAATCTTTGGCTCTGTTCTTCATTACAATGCTAGCTTAGTTCATCTGGGACTGTTAGTGGCAGGTTTACAATGTCACAGCCTCCCTGATGGACATTTGCCCCCTGCCCAGGGCTCGCCTACTGCCGCCACTTGTCCACCGTGCGGACCCACCTCTCAGCCCTGGTCAATCACACCATCATCCCCCCCGACAGGCCCAGCAGCACCTCAGGGGGGCTGACCAAAGAGGTCTGGAGCAAGTATCAGAAGGACAAGAAGGTAAGTAACAGAAGGCCTTGATGATCATTAGTTGAAGCAGCTCCCACTCGCTGCTGTGCTGAGCTTGGTGTCCTTCAGAACCACCCCAGGGAGCACCCAAGGGGCTTTCCAGTCTCCCCAGGATCACTGCTCTTTCTAGACACAGCGAGTCTCTTTTATCCTTTGCATCTCTGATGATGGCAAAGACATCAATTAACAACAAAGCAACTCACCTCCTTCCTCCTCTAGGCCCTTCAAAGATTATTTCCACGGGAGGCACAACAACTTGTATGAGACTGGATCTGAGCTGGGGCCCCAGAGGCATCCCGAGCTGCAGCCTTTATCTCGTGCCCTGCATGCACTTCACTGGCTCTGCACTTGATGTGAAGTTCGTATGTGCTTCCCTGGGGAAAATGAAGATGTTTTACCTTCAATACCTTTTTTCCTGACTGCTGTAGAATTACAAGGAACTGGAATTACTGAGGAGAGTTTACTACGGTGGGGTGCAGCACGAGATCCGGAAGGAAGTGTGGCCGTTCCTGTTGGGTCACTACAAATTCGGGATGGCCAAGAAGGAAATGGAGCAGGTGAGCACAGCCCAATAGGAATAGGTTTGGATTGCTGGAAGCAAGTGTTACTTTTTATTATGGTTTAATATTCCTGAGGAAAAAACGCTGCTGAAAACATGAGTGACACACGTTAGCAGAGAGCTTATAATACCATGTTATCATGCCTGAAAATTCACCAAAAGGGAGTTTTATGTTGAAGTCAGGAAACCTGCATTCAGCCTCTGCCTGTGACATGCACTTGCCCTGACCAAATCCTGCTCTCGCAGATTTTTCACTTGCCATGTGGGAAGACTGATACTGGGATGGCAATTTGAGTCATCCTTCTTCTATAGGGTGCTATTGCAGCACTTCCCAGATGCCCTGTGAGTTTATTACACTTGGTGCTCCATTCAATTTTTAAGTTTATTTTTTTTTAAACTCATATTTTCAGGAAACACAGGATTTGGGAGGTTTCTTGCATGGATTGAGTTTTACTGTCTCTGTTGTGCACAGGTATATGAACCATCACATTTATCACCCATGTGTAGAAATAGGTATGTCTGGAACTGGAAAAAGGACCCAGATACTTAGCTTTTAGAGTGGGAGATCTGGCATCACAACTCATGGATTCCAGCCCCAGCTTCTAAGGGCACACATTTATACAGCTAGCACCTAAAAGAGATTTGATCATAAAATATCTGAGCTGCACAATGCAGGCTCCTACGGGAAGCTTTCTTGTCCCCTGAGTTTGTACCATGCTAACACAGGGGTGCTGGAAACCCTGCCTGGAATTCTAATGAGCTTCCCAGCACCAGTCATAAATAACTGTAATAACCAACTTCTCACAGAGATGTGCTGCTGGAGTCTGAACCCAACCATGGAGTGTAAGGGCCTGTTATATGAATGCCATGAAAACACCCATAACATTTGCACATGTAGGAAACTCATCGTGTCCTTAACGGAGTCATTGCAGGTGATTGATCATCTCTGCCTTTGGATGACATCTTTGCAGTCATCCATCAGTATCTGGGGCACTCCCAAACATGACTGTCCTCCAGCCTTCCACTAACTGTTGTGTTTCATGATTTATGACTCGACAGCTACCTCAAGTGGCAAACACCCTGCAGCTCTTAGCATGAATGCTCTGGTAGCAACTCCGGCCAGCGGAGCCCAGAGCCTGGATCCAGCTCACAACTGTGGTTTCTCTTCAGCTCTTGACAAGTCACAGGGCAGTAAAATTACTATATGTCCCTTAATAGCTCAAGAGGGGGTTCTGTGTCTGTCTTTCAGCAGTGGAAGGCAGCAGTGGCAAAATTCTTTTATTCCCAGGGGAAGCAGAGTGGCTGGATCTGGCTACGTGCAGTGCAGCCACAGGGCTGGGCTGTGGGAGCTGGATTCCTGCTCTTCAGGAGACTGCCCAGGCTGAGGTGTCTGAACCTGGAATTCATTGCTGTGTTAGAGGTGGAAAAAAGGAGGAGTAGGGAAGGAGATGTAATGCAATTAGGAACAATCCAGTCAGAGGCAGCAATTGCTCCATCAGATTGCATCTGACTTCTGTGGTGAGGTTCCAGAGGAAAGCCAGTGGCATCTTTTGCTCTTCCCTGGACAGTGTGAAGCTCTGTGGACAGTGAATCTTTTCTGGTGTTCCAGTGATAGTTTATTCCTTGCAGTAAACAGGCAACATCTGCTCAGCCATTGTGCTTTCCACTCACAGCAATATGCACTCCAGCAAGAGGGCTCCAGGACCCTTCAGGCTTTGGTTTGACACACACCACTTCAGAGCTGCCCCTCCTGGCTTCCACTCCTTTTTAGTGCTGCCTTTCAGGGAGAACCACCACTGCAGGGTCTGTCTGTTTGCAGGTGGATGAAGACATCGCCCTCCGGTACCAGAAGGTCATGGCTGAGTGGAAAGCCTGCGAGGTCATCGTGAAGCAGAGGGAGAAGGAATCCCATCCCATCACACTGGCCAAGTTCTCCTCGGGCAGCAGCATCGACAGCCACGTCCAGCGGCTGATCCACAGGGACTCCACCATCAGCAACGATGTAGGTGCTCCCTTCCCCCCCCAGCAGGGCCCATGGGCACAGCCAGGGAGGCAGGGCCGGGTCACTGTGGCTCCATCCGCCTGAGCTGCCTGAGTCCTCTCCAGAATTTGGAGCTCTAGTGGCTCCTGAGAGAGCCAGGAGCAGGTCTGTTCTCTGGGCAGTCTGTAGCTGTTCTCCAGCAGGACCAGCCTAAGGGGCTTGAATGTTCACCTACTTCAAAAGTTCTCACAATGTAGGAGTAATTTCTAGGCCCTTTATTGGAATCCAGCACAGAGCAAGTTTGCTCCTATTAAAGCATATTTTGATTCTGTCAGCTTGGGTGTGATGTTATCTTGGGAGAGGGGATCTTTGGTGCAGCCTTCAAACAGCTCATTGATTTCAGTAAGGCAAGAGAGAACTTGGAATAGTTCAACAAAGAGTTTTTTAGCAAGAGAAGAGGTAACGTGGTTGCATGGTGAGAACTTGAGGGCCAGTGTTGAGCTCGGGCAGCTGCAGCTGAGCTGGCCTGAGGTGGGTTGGTTTTCTTCCAAGATCACTGCTGTGTCGGGTGTTTCTAGGGTTGGGGTTGCAGGTAGGGAAGCTTCACTGCTTTCCAGGGTGTTTCTGATTGAAGATTATGGAAGGAGGAGACACCATCACAGGAGATGGGTATGAGACCATAAGTTGATATTATCTCTAGACTTCCCATGTCATAGAAAGATTGAGGAGCTCTCAGCTACGTGCATGCAGGAAAGCTCAACTGATCGTGTTCCCTCCAGCAGTCTCTGGTGCTTGGAGTTTTGCTGTATGATTGTTTCTTGCTTCTGTGCTCCCCTGCTTCATCCCGAGCTCCTCCCCCTGCCCCAGGTCTTTCTCTCCGTGGATGAGCCGGACTCGGAGCAGGATTCCCGCGGCCAGGAGGACCCCGCGGTCACCCTGCTGCCCCCGGCCCCGCCGGAGCAGCCGCCCCTGGAGTTCGACTCCCCCGACTCGGGGCTGCCCTCCTCCCGGAACTACTCGGTGGCCTCGGGCATCCTGTCCAGCATCGAGGACGGGCCTAGCGGCTCCTTCGAAGAGGGGACTGAAGACCCCGAGGTGGGCAGGGCCGAGCCCGACACGCCCCGGGTGCAGCCCCGGGCAGCGCCGGGCGCGGAGCCGCAGGAGCCGCAGGAGCAGCAGGAGCCGCATTCCCAGCGGGATCATCCCACGGACGCTGCTTCTGTCTGCGCTGCCTCCTACACGGTGGGTCACACACCCCGGCCCTCTGCACAGGAAGCAAAGACTTGGGCTTTTTCAGGCAGGATTTAATGAGAGACACTCCCAACCTGGCGCTGCAGGTGATGGGCTGATCCCTGAGGATTTTTGCTTTCGGATCTTTGGATTTTGAGCTGGGTTGGAAATAATAGAACAAGAAAAATTTGGGTCATTTTTTGAGTGGGAGAGCAAGGAAAATAACACGGTGCAGTTCCAGCAGCTAAAAATCCCTCGGGGCTGGGGAAGGTGTGGGGGTGTGGACAACACACCACTTGGATTTCAGTATCATGTAATTCAAGCTAAAACCCACATTTAATCAAATTGAACCACAACTTAAATCTGGATTCAAGGCTCCACCATCTCTGCTCGTGTTGCTGTCAGCAGATCAGTAGTTGAGTGTTTGCCTCTCTCTGCTGAACAGAACCCTTTGGAAACAAAACAGGCTTGGAACATTTACCAGTGACAGTCTCTGCATTTTACCTGGGATTTGGGGCATTATTTAAGTATTTCAGTGCTCTTATATGCCCAGAGTATAATTGTACTAGTTCTGGTTTGTTGATTCTCAGAGCAAATCTGCACCGTGGCCTGAGAATGCTCTAAACTCAGCTGATCTAACTAAAACTTTTCTCTTCTAGATAGAGTTACTGGACACTGTGGCCTTAAATTTGCACAGAATTGACAAAGATGTCCAGAGATGTGACCGGAATTACTGGTATTTTACTGCTGATAACCTGGAGAAGCTCCGAAACGTCATGTGCAGGTACCACAGCTCCTCAGCTGAACTGCTTTTCACAATCCTGTCACAGTTCATCACCTGTCATATAGTAGTAATGTGAAAATAACAGTCTGTAAAAATATTCTCATGCTTTTGTTAGCTGTTTTTGCACAAACTGCTGGTGTGCAAGCCATGTGTGTAAGGTTTGGTCTCCTCCATCCAAGCAGGAGAAGAATACAGGGCTGTGAATGCTCTGGAATGTGAAGTGTTAAAAGGTCTGAGACACATTCAACAGCTGCTTAAGGCTTGATCCTGCATAATCAAATTAGACCTTCAATACAGCATTTAGCTTTTGAGGGCTGGGAAGAGAATAATTCAATATTAATTCATTCTGTAAGTAGACAACTACTTCCTTTTACCCTTTCACAACACTTAAGAGCCTACAGCAAATTCACATTACAGGAGAGATTCCTGCCTCATGTGTGCTCTGTCCTTATCATGGATTGTTCATGAAGCTGTTAGGAATTTTCCTGAAAAAAACCCAACAAATAGAAAAAGTCCTTGTCATTTTACACCAGAGTGCTGGAAGACTTGAATTGTTGTTCTCTGGACTTCTAGCTTTAACTTTTACAGCACTCTGGAATGAGAAACTTAAAAGCTTCCAAAAGTTGTTGTATTTCAGGAGCAGAGCAAATCTGAGGTCACGATGCAGGAAGAGGATTTTTAATCCCATTATCTCCTGTGCTTTCTTCTTTCTGCAGTTATGTTTGGGAGCACCTAGAAGATGGTTATGTTCAAGGCATGTGTGACCTCCTGGCTCCTCTGATGGTTATACTGGACAACGGTAGGAAGGGTTTTCTTCTGGAATGTGTTGGTATTTTGGGGAGGTCTGTCTTCAGAAATGCAGTTTCAGAAGGAAGTTGTAGGTGTTAACCAGAGCTCACTCACCAGGGCAATCAAACCGCAGCACTTGATTCGTATTTTCTCTAAATTAAATTCTACTAAATTATCCAAGCAACTGTGTTCTGGCAGTTGCTGAAGCTGACAACTCAACCACAAGCTGGGTTCTTTTGAAACATAACTAGTGAAAATGGTCCAGCATCAGGTACAGTCTTTTTTCATCAAAATGCTGGTGATGGGATTAGGGAGCAGCAAATGGGAAAACCCTACTTTTTCCCTTGCAGTTTATTATTTCCTTGCAGTTTATTATTTTGGTTCAAGGAAGTCACACGATTAGCAACACTGACTGTTCTGTCTTGTGTCTGCAGACCAGCTGGCTTACAGCTGCTTCAGCCACCTGATGAAGAGGATGAGCCAGAACTTCCCCAATGGAGGTGCTATGGACACACACTTTGCCAACATGAGGTCCCTGATCCAGGTGAGTTGTTTTGAATCTTACTTGGAAGAAGATGATGTTGTGGCAGAGGCTCAGAACTAGCCTGATGCCTCAGGGAGCACTGGCTGGTTGGCTACACCCAGGGTGCTGTGGTCAATGGCTCAGTGTCCAAGTGGAGACAAGTGGTGTCCCTCAGGGGTCAGTATTGTGCCCAGTGCTTTTCAATGCCTTTGTTGGAGACATGGACAGTGAGATTGAGCGTATCCTCAGCAAATCTGCTGATGACACCAAGCTGTTCCCAAGAGGGAAGGGACACCATCCAGAGGGACCTTGACAGGCTGGAGAGAAGGGCTAGTGGCAACCTCCCTTGTTAAGTTTCAAATCCTTCCTGCCAGTGTTTTTCACTTGATTTCTTGATTCCCTGTGATTCTGGAATTTCCTGCAATCACAGGTATTTGTGCTACTCTTCACTAAGGGCAAGTCATGCCTGACCAGTCTGGTGGCCTTCTAGAACAAGGCTACAGAGATGGTGAATGGTGGCAGAGCAACTGGCGTCATCTACCTGGGTTTGTGCAGGGTGTTTGAGACTGTCCCACATGACATCCTGGTCTCCAAACTGACAAGGCATGGATTTGACAGATGGACCACTTGGTGGATAAGAGATGGCCACCCCCAGAGAGTTGTGGTCAATTGCTCAATGTCCAAATGGAGGCAGGTGACAAGTGGTGTCCCTCAGGGGTCAGTATTGTGCCCAGTGCTTTTCAATGCCTTTGTTGGAGACATGGACAGTGAGATTGAGCGTATCCTCAGCAAATCTGCTGATGACACCAAGCTGTTCCCAAGAGGGAAGGGACACCATCCAGAGGGACCTTGACAGGCTGGAGAGAAGGGCTAGTGGCAACCTCATGAAGTTCAACAAGGCCGAGTGCAGGGTCCCAGAGCTCTGCCTCCAGGGCACCAGACACACTCTGCAGTGACTCCCACCTGTGGCTCAGTCCAGCTCCAGCTGAAGTCTGTGAGCAACAGCAGCAAGATCCAGTCTTCACTGCTTTTTGGAAGAAAAAAAATGTGATGAACTTAGCACAGGGCTGGGTGATTCAGAGCAGCTCAGGGGGCTGAACCAGCCTCCAGCACCTTTCAGACCGGATATGAACACTGATGTTACTTGTTTCAGATTCTAGACTCAGAGCTTTTTGAATTGATGCACCAGAATGGAGATTACACTCACTTTTACTTCTGCTACCGCTGGTTCCTGCTCGACTTTAAAAGAGGTAATAATGTCCTGTGCCTGTAGTTTAGAGTTGTGCAGAACTGAACAGCTCTGTTTCGCTCTCGGTGTCTGGATGGCAGCTGGGCCCACCAGAGGGCTTGTAGCCAGGAAAGCCAGTGCATCTCTCAGAGATGAACTAGCACTGGAATGATGTCAAAGCTTAGAAAGGTATGTTCTAAATTCCTGATGATGTGGTTGAACCAAGTTTCTGCTCAGTGCAGATGCCTTTTTGCGATCCCAAATTGATCATGCTCCTTTGTAGGCTTTGATGCCTCCTTTCTAATCCATTTGGTAACAAGGAGCAGCTCAGCAGTAGCTCAGGAGCTGTTGTATTTTGCTGAGTGAGGTACTTTAGATACTTTGGGAGCACCCCAGGATCTCAGGAACCCTGCACAAGCCCCCCCACACCCACTCCAACAGCAGCAGTTGCTTATAATTCAGACCCATCTTGCTGTCAGGCAAGTCAGTAGCTTCTTGGAGTTACAGATGGATCTGTGGGAATCAGAAGCTGTGCAGCCCTGCCTGGAGCAAATGGGCCTCCTGTGCTGTTCTCACAGGGTTGCTGCAGGGCTGAGCCTGCACCACCACACTGACCTGCTGCCTGAGTCTTCCCTTAACCCCGGTGGTGTTGCCATCCTTGCACAAGTGACAGGAGCTGGCTGGAGGAGAGGGGGAAGGAAAAGGAGTCATCAAGCACTATTCATGTCTGCATAAGGCCTGTAAGGTGTTAGAGAGGGGGAAATGGTCCAGTTGAATAATCAGATGCTCTTGTAATGTTTATTCCCATTCAGAATTGTTGTACGAGGATGTATTTACAGTGTGGGAAGTTATTTGGGCAGCAAAGCACATCTCTTCAGAACATTTTGTCCTTTTCATTGCCTTAGCACTTGTGGAAGTTTATCGAGAGATTATCCGTGATAACAACATGGACTTCACTGATATCATCAAGTTTTTTAATGGTAAGAGACTTTTTTAAGAGAACCATTTTGATAAAAAGCAAGTAATGAGAATTTGTTCCTCCCCCCTCACCAGACACTGTGGGCAGGTGGGCAGTGTCCTTGCTGTCACCTGAAGCTCTGCATCTCTGAACCCTCCTTGTAAACAAACAGCCCAGATTTTCACACGCCTCCTGGAGCTCTATCTGTGCACACACCACCAGCAGTGCTCTAAAAGCACTGGACCAGAGAAGATGGCAGATTTTTCTGTCAGTGGTAATTTTGACCACAAAGCAAGCTTCCAAACTTCAGATAAAAAGATTTGCTACAGTGACTCTTTGCCCTTGGTCTAATGGAACGTGCTAAAACGTGGCTTAATTGTTTGCAAAAGTCTCTCATAGGTTTTATGATTGCCAGAGCTGCTTCTGTTTCCAGAGCTTGACCCTGCTAAGAATGAAACATCAGCAACTGTTCATTAAACCTTCCCACCTCACTTCCATGCTGGTTGCTCCTGTCACATCCAGAGATGCCAGCCAAGGGGCAGGGCCAGAGCAGCAGGTTCTGCCAAAGCTGGGCCTTGTTCTGGCTGCAGAGCACAAGTTATTCCCCAACAAGTGCTCCCTGTTAGGATACGTTAAGAGGTTTGGAAACAATTTTGTGTAATCACAGTAATTTACTAAACTATCAGTGCTGTGGCTTTCAGCCATCTGTTGCAGAAGCCCCAAATTTGGTTTTGTTTCTGCCTCAGCCACTCTTACTCCAAAGCTGTACATTAAAGCTTCCCTCAAAAAACCCCACCAAAACAAAGAAAAAAATACCCCAGAAAAAAACCACACAGAAATCCCCAGCACTTGCCTAGTCTGAACTAAATGTTTATTGTGGAACTGAGGATTCAGGTCAGCCCAGAGCTACTTTCTGATCTTCCTTCAAGCTGCAGAGCCTGGATGTCTGAATGTGGAACTACATGGGTACATCCCTGTGTCCTTAATTGTATTCAGCACTTGCATCCCAGACACCCCAGCAACAGCCCCTGCCTGCAGAGGTATCTCTTGATACCTTTTGAGTTCAGCTTCATGTTTTTGAAGTCCCAGGAGGGCTGGACACCCACACGTGGGTACAAGCCTCCCATTCTGGTCTGAGGCCTCAGGGCACTGCGAGTTCTACAACAGGAGACTTTACACCAGAAGGATTAGATCTCAGTGCAAGAACCTACAGCACTAAGGATTCATCCCTTATTCCATCTTTAATTCTACAAACCTAACCCCCCGCAATGCTTTCAGGATTGCTGCTAATATTATGCTAATTTATGTTAATGTTATGCTAAGTAATTATTGCTGGTGCTGCATTAATATTAATCATAGGATAGAAAAGTTCCTGCCACTGATAGTTAAGAACGTTTGTCTGTGTCTTTTAGAAATGGCAGAGCATCATAATGCTGAGGAAATTCTGAGGATAGCAAGAGACCTTGTCTACAAAGTGCAGACATTGATTGAAAACAAGTGATAATGAGCAGATGGTCGTGGCCTTGTCCTGAGCTATGGGATGGAGCATCTCTTGCACTGTAACTTCAGAATGGTGTTTTACTTGCATCTTCCATGTAATGTAAAAAATATCAAAGAGATTTGTAACAGACTTTTAAAAACAGAACTTTTCCTTCACCAGATAAAGTTTGTGTTTGATAGTCCTTGTTACACTCACTTTGTATTTCTAGACAAAATTTTTTTGCATTCTTTTATTTCCCTCTCTAGAAGACTATCTACATATTTGAGATATTAAAAAGGGGGGATTTGATGTACTAGAACATTTGTATTTTGACTTACTGCACCTTTGAAGCCTGGATGCACGTTGTCTGCTTTGCCAGAACCTTCCTTGGAGGCAGGGCTGGATCCAGCACTCAGGTGTTGCAGGCACTGAACTGGGTCCTTGGAGGAGCTTGTTCTTGGACTCTGCCTAGAATGGAAGAGAATGTACATGAGCTTCTGTTGCTAAAGCATTTGGGTTTGTATTTAGTGGAGTATTTAGCAGCAATGGAGATAAATAAGGTTACCAGCTGGGAGCGTGGCCTTAAACTGAACAGCGTGGCCAAGAGGAGCAGTAAGATCTGGCAACATCAGCTGGAACCACCCGTTAGCCTTTGCTGCCCAGCTCGGGCTGCTGAGCCCTTGTGCCCTGCACGTGCCAGACAAGCTTTCCTTTTACTTTGCAAACTGTTCCCAGGTGACAAGACCTGCCTGATGCAGTTCAGGTCAACACCAGTTTAGCACACAGAAGTGGGTTTCCTGCCCAGGGTAGCAGCCCCCCCTCTGCATCTGTGCAGAGTGCCAGATGCACAGCAGAGCCTCCCCTGCACCCCACTCTGCAGAGCACTCAGGGAGCTTTCCTCGGGATGCTGGGCACACCAGCCCAGCACTGCTCTGCCCAGATGAAGCAGCTGTACCTGTGGCTGGGGCTCTGCTCCCCTGAGCTGCCTGGCAGAGCCATCCATGATCCCCCAAGTTCTGTGCCACTTCTGTCCTGCTCCTGCATGCGTTCTGCATCCTGCAGAGGTGAGGGATGCTGAGCTGCAGCCAGGCCTGCTGCTGTCCCTGCACTTCATCCCCTGTACAGAATCACCTCATGGCTCTACTTGCTTTCCCAAGGCACACATATTTTCTAAATCAATGTGTGTCTCTGGGAGGGAGATAAGAGGGAGCAGGTTTTTGCTAATGGGGTTAGCTGCAGATTTCATGCATCCTCGTGACCTGTGCTCCTAGAAAACCAAGGGACTTAGTTTAAGCACTTCAAGCATTCCAAAGTATCCCACCCTTTGCCATTAGAACCTCTGTCATTAAAAAAAAAAAAAGAGGACTCTGAATCTTTTTTTTTACTGTTCTATCCCTCAGAGCAGGCAGGATTACACAGCTGCCTTCCCACTGACCCCTGTAGAGACACCTGTGTGATTTCCAGAGTCACAGAAGGGTCAGGTTGCTCAGCAAAGTTTACATGACTTAGATCAGCTCACATGAGCTTTTAAAATCAGATTTTTAGCAAAAAGGGATGTAGGGAATAAAATTACTCTGTTTGAAGAATCAAATGCTGATAGGAAGTACTTGCTTTAGGAACTGTGCTCTTGTTCCTACCCCAGCAGTGGGGAGTCCTGCTCTTTGCAGGGGTGCTCTCTGGGCTCCTCAGAAGCTGGAGCATTGCTTGTACAAACAAAAAAAAAAAAGGCAGATTTGGTTCTAGAAATACCATCTGTGCTTAGATCTTTCTTTATGACTGCAGTAAGCTAAAAATGGTAAATAATAGTCTGGAGAGGGAAAAAATGGCCACAAAGGTGTTAGCTCAATAGCCCTCCCTTAAATCAGCTGCTAAAAATTTGAGGGGAAGAGTAAAGAGAAACCAACAAACCTCAAGTTCCCCATGGCTGGTGTTGCCAGAAGCCCTCAGGGATAAGCCTGGTGTCCTCTGGGCTCATGAGCATCATGGTCACCAACAGCAGTGGGAACAGCCAAGCCCACCCGGTGCTAGGAAGAGGGGGATGGACACCCCCTTCCAGAGCAGAATGGAGCAAAGTGCCCGTGGTGGGAGCGAGGCAGGGAAGGGGCTCCATGGGTCTCTGCCCCCACAGCTGGGCCTGCTCCCCAGCCAGGGCTCCAGGGAGGGCTCTGGTGCATCTGGTCACTTGAAAAAGAGAAATAGTATTAAAAAAAATAAAATAGACAAGAGCAAGAAAACCCTCCAACTCACAGAGCCTGAGGAAGTGATGTAAAAAAAATAAACCCACTATTTTTTCTTTGGTATGTTGGGAATATACTATAAAACTATAAAACAACAAACCTCTGCAAACTTTGTTGTGTTATATCATTCTGGCTAACTGTATTTTATTAATATTGTGCATTATTTATTTTTGTCAGGAGCAGACTATTCTCTATTGCACAACTATTTATGTTTAAATGTAACATATGAATAAATACTTATCGTCAAGGCATTCTGTGGAACTCTTTGGAAGCTGTTTCTCTCTCCCCCAAGGTAACTTCAGAGATGGAACAGGGAGTCCTTAGGGCTGTCTGGGAAGAGAGTGCAATAGGTAATTAATGTTCCTCTGACGAGCGGACACAGGCTGTTCTACTAAGGGGTATTTTTAAAGTAAGTAAGTAGGTCAGCACGAAATGGGCTGCTAGTGCCCCTGAGGGCACTTAGAGGGTAGGTTTAAATTACAGTGTGTGCCCAGGGGCACCCACAGCCACACATGGAGCCTGTTGCCAGCCCAGCCTGGGCAAGGGGTGGGGGGCATAAGAAGGGTTAAAAAAAATTACAAAGTTCATCCTGCAATTTTAGGCCTGATCGTGGTGCAGCAAGGATGGAACCAGCTGAGCTGTTGGGCTTCCAGGAGAGATCCTCCACTGCTCCCAGTTCCACCTTCAGACCTCTTAAAAAATCCTCTGGCTGCCTCTGGTCCACAGCAGGGATGCTCCTTTCAGAACCTGCTGCCCAGCCTGCTGCCTGTTTTGCTGGTGGTTGGAGCAATTTTCCATGTTTTGTTTTGTTTGGTTATTTTTGTTAGCTTGGGAGGCTCTGCCCAGAGGTGGGTCCCAGGGGATAAAGGAGCATTCCCCCATTCTACTATAAACCTGCCCAACAACGGCCTCTCTGTGCCAGGGTAGGGGCAGCAATTCAATTCCTCAGCCACTGCTCGTGACTCCTACAGCTGCTAATCATGTGTTTATCCTTATAAAAGAGGATAAGCCCTTTATGAAGTGTATCCAATGACATGTTGTCTAAAATAATCTTCCAGTGCCACAGTGTCCTCTGCCTTCATCTTATTCTGTGGGCCTTGGGGTGGGCAGGGGGAGGCGAGTCCCACAGCTGGGATCACACAGTGGCTCTTGCCTACAGGACCTTCTTTCTTACTACACCACTCCCCCAGCACTCTCTTTGCAAAGTCTCAGAAACGTTTAAAACTGGTGATAAAATAGTTTAAGAGTGTGGCAGTGGCACTGCAGAATGAGGCTTCAGCACTAACCTGGACACAGGCTGGGGGAGAACAGTCCCCAGATCCCTTTGTGGGTGCAGCTGAGGTGGCTCTGAAGCCCCCCGAGCCCTCCTTAAACCCCCCTGACCTGCCCCCGAGACCCCCTGACCCTGCCATCCCCATCTGTCCCCTGCAGGTGACAAAGCCGAGGGCTCTGCAGCCACCGTGTCCCCCTGGAGGCCCAGCAGGACCCTGCCATGCCCAGGGACCCTGTGGCCACCAAACCTGCCGTACAGGCCTGACTCACCCCAGCTCCAGCTTCCCAGGCTCCTCATCCACGGACCAGCAGCACAGACACCGCGAAGCCCAGGGCTGCAGCTTCAGTGCCTGCAGAGAGAGCACGGAAAGCGGGTGAGGTGAAGGTTGGGCCAGACTGCACCTCTGAGTCCTCACGGCACCAGTGGCCCGGCCCACTCCCCTCCCCAGGAAGGGCCCCTGGGCACCCCCACACGGGTCAGGCTGCCCAAGGTGGCCGGGAGGGTCCCAGCAGGGAGGGTCCCAGCAGGGAGGGTCCCAGCAGGGAGGGTCCCAGCCCATGTCCCGCCGTCCTGCGGGAGCCTCACCTGGGGGCCAGGGTCACCAACGCCCGCGGCAGAGCCTCTTGGCCCTGCAGCACCCTGAGTGGAGAGAGGGCTGGTTACAGGCACCATTTCCCAAGGTTTCATAACATCTGGAGGCTGGAAAGAGTTTTTGCTTCTTCCCCAGGGTGTCATTGCCTGCTGGGGACACAGGAGAAGCTCCAGGCTTGGTCTGGCAAGGGCCAAACCAGCTGAGCAGTAACACACACCTGGAGGGGCAGCTGTGGCTACAGGCAGGGACAAACACGGCTCTGATAATTGGAAAATTACAAATAAAGTGAAATACCTGCATGCAAAGCACAAGGAGGAAAATGCAGAATCCTGTTTGAGATTTCAGTGCATGTTTATTTCAATTTTATACTTATTTCAGGCAAGTGCTTATTACATGGATATTTTCATGTTGGATACCTAATTTCTGGAGCATGAGGAGCCAGTATAGTACAGCTGAATAGTAAAAATACAGTATGTACAAAATTAGTTGTTTGTTTTTTTCACATAGCAGATGTATCCAAGCACGTAAAAATATTTACAGTCTAAGTTTTTCACTATTGAGTATTTCAGTAAATTGGTAACACAGTGACACGTCCTCACTGTAAACAAAGCCGGTTTGCCCGGTGGAAGGGCAGCGGCTCGCGGGGGGAGCGCAGGGCGCGGGGGGCCCCCCGCCAGCCGCTCCACACCTACAATCAGCAGCTTCGGTGAACATTCCTAACGGGAGAGCATGGGAAACGCTTTGATCCGGGAGGTGACAGGCACGAGGGGCTCTGCTCTCACAGCGGGGCCTCGGCTGGTGCTTGACCAGGTGTGAATAAATCGGTGGGTGGATGCAGTTAGCACCTGATGTCTCGCTCTGTCACTAAACATCCTTCTGGCCCAGCCTGTCCAGGCCGGTCTGTGATTGTTTCTCCCCC